ACTAGGATAGCAACCCTGCTTTTTTTTGCTTTCCATTTGCTTGGTAAATCTTCCTCCCTCCCTTTATTTTGAGCTATGTGTGTCTTTGCATGTGAGATGAGTCTCCTGAATACAGCACACCGATGTGTCTTGACTCTTCATCCAATTTGCCAGTCTGTGTCTTTTAATTGGGGCATTTAGCCTGTTTACATTTAAGGTTAAAATTGTTATGTGTGAATTTGATCCTGTCATTATGATGCTAGCTGGTTATTTTGTCCATTAGTTGATGCAGTTTCTTCATAGCGTCGATGGTCTTTACAATTTGGTATGTTTTTGTGGTGGCTGGTACCGGTTTTTCCTTTCCACATTTAGTGCTTCCTTCAGGAGCTCCTGTAAGGCAGGCCTGGCGATGACAAAATCTTTCAGTATTTGCTTGTCTGTAAAGGATTTTATTTCCCCCTTGCTTATGAAGCCTAGTTTGGCTGGATATGAAATTCTGGGTTGAAAATTCTTTTCTTTAAGGATGTTGAATATTGGCCCCCACTTTCTTGTGGCTTGTAGGGTTTCTTCAGAGAGGCCTGCTATTAGTCTGATGGGCTTCCCTTTGTGGGTAACCTGACCTTTCTCTCTGGCTGCCCTTAACACTTTTTCCTTTATTTCAACCTTGGTGAATCTGACAATTATATGTCTTGGGGTTTCTCTTCTTGAGGAGTATCTTTGTGGTGTCCTCTGTATTTCCTAAATTTGAAGGTTGGCCTGTCTTGCTAGGTTGGGGAAGTTCTCCTGGATAATATCCTGAAGAGTGTTTTGCAACTTCGTTCCATTCTCCCTATCACTTTCAGGTATGTCAAACGTACGTTTGGTCTTTTCACATAGTCCCATATTTCTTGGAGGCTTTGTTTGTTCCTTTTCATTCTTTTTTTCTCTTATCTTGTCTTCATGCTTTATTTCATTAAGTTGATCTTCCATCTCTGATATCCTTTCTTCCGCTTGATCGATTCAGCTATTGATACTTGTGTATGCTTCACAAAGTTCTCGTGCTGTGTTTTTCAGCTCCATCAGGTCTTTTATGTTCTTCTCTAAGCTGGTTATTCTAGTTAGCAATTCCTCTAACCTTTTTTCAAGGTTCTTAGCTTTCTTGCATTGGGTTACAATATGCTCCTTTAGCTCAGAGGAGTTTGTTATTACCCACCTTCTGAAGCCTACTTCTGTCAATTCATCAAACTCATTCTCCGTCTAGTTTTGTTCTCTTGCTGGCAAGGAGTTGTGGTCCTTTGGAGGAGAAGAAGTGTTCTGGTTTTTGGAATTTTCAGCCCTTTTGTGCTGGTTTTTCCTCATCTTTGTGGATTTATCTACCTTTGGTCTTTGATGTTGGTGACCTTTGGATGGAGTTTTCATTTGGACATCCTTTTTGTTGATGTTGATGCTATTCCTTTCTGTTCGTTAGTTTTCCTTCTAATAGTCAGGCTTCTCTGCTGCAGGTCTGCTGGAGTTTGCTGGAGGTCCACTCCAGACCTTGTTTGCCTGGGTATCACCAGTGGAGGCTGCAGAACAGCAAAGATTGCTGCCTGTTCCTTCCTCTGGAAGCTTCATCCCAGAGGTACACCCGCCAGATGCCAGCTGGAGGTCTCCTGTAAGAGGTGTCTGTCAACCCTTGCTGGGAGGTGTCTCCTAGCAGGAGGCACAGGGGTCAGGGACCCACTTGAGGAGACAATCTGTCCCTTAGCAGAGCTCGAGCGCTGTGCTGGGAGATCTGCTGCTCTCTTCAGAGCTGGCAGGAGGAACGTTTAAGTCTGCTGAAACTGTGTTCACAGCCACCCCTTCCCCCATGTGCTCTGTCCCAGGAAGATGGAAGTTTTATCTATAAGCCTGTGACTAGGGCTGCTGCCTTTCTTTCAGAGATGCCTTACCCAGAGAGAAGGAATCTAGAGAGGTAGTCTGGCTACAAAATCTTTGCCAAGCTGTGGTGGACCCCACCCAGTTAGAACTTCCTGGAGGCTTTGTTTACACTCTGAGGGGAAAACTGCCTACACAAGCCTCAGTAATGGCGGATGCCCCTCCCCCCACCAAGCTCCAGCATCCCAGATCGACTTTAGACTGCTGTGCTGGCAGCAAGAATTTCAAGCCATTGGTCTTAGCTTGCTGGGCTCTGTGGGGTTGGGATCCACTGAGCTAGACCACTTGGCTCCCTGGCTTCCACCTCCTTTCCAGGGGAGTGAGCAGTTCTGTCTCACTGGTGTTCCAGGCGCCACTGGGGTATGAAAAAAAACTCCTGCAGCTAGCTTGGTGTCTGCCCAAACAGCTGCCCAGTTTTGTGCTTGAAACCTAGGGCCCTGGTGGTGTAGGCACCCGAGGAAATCTCCTGGTCTGAAGGTTGCAAAGACCATGGGAAAAGCATAGTATCTGGGCTGGAGTGCACTGTTCCTCATGGCATAGTCCTTCATGGCTTCTGTTGGCTGGGGGAGGGAGTTCCCCGACCCCTTGCGCTTCCTGGGTGAGGCAACGCCCGACTCTGCTTTGGCTCGCCCTCCCTGGGCTGCACCTACTGTCTAACCAGTCCCAATGAGATGAGCCGAATACCTCAGTTGGAAATGCAGAAATCACCCCCCTTCTGCATTGATCTCGCTGGGAGCTGCAGACCGGAGCTGTTCCTATTCGGCCATCTTGCCAGCCACCCCCAGAAAAAGATCTTTTGTGCCAGGAATTGCGAATAAATACCAAGAACAGCTAAGAAATGTTTTAAATAATTTCCTTTCAGAGTGGGAACATCATTTTAGCATTTATTCCCTCAGGGAGAAAATTCTTCAATAAATATAGAAATCTTTGGGAAATTAGGAGTTTAATAAGAGGCTTCTATATTGACTTTCATACATTTACTTCTGCAGTGTTTGCTGTCTTGAACTGTAAAGTTAAAATTAAACAATTTAACTTAGACTGAAAAGAATCCCAATGGTATATTATCAATAATGCTTTTCTTAGAGGCCTCATAATGCCAAAGAAACGTTTTTCAATCAATTGAAATTGTGGTCCCATAATTTCATTTAAATATCAGGGATAAGACTGAAGAGTCTTTGGAAAGCCATCATGTCTCCCCACTGTCTTGGGTTAAGACTGCACCTAGACTGCCCTCAACAGATGGAAATTTCAAGAATTTACAAAAAGATTGTATAACCTGATTTGGGATAACATCTCCCTTGTCAGTGTGCACTTCTTTATGTAACAGTCCTATTTGATTACATCAGATTAAATGGGGGCAGTTTAACTCCATGACAGGGCTGCAGAAGTGCAAATAGAGGGAAGAGTTACATCAAGAAGACTGTGGAACTAGTGGTTCCTGGGCCAGAGGACAGCCGAGGCAGAGGCTCTGCAGACCTTAAGTTCTCCATTTGCTGTGCTCCTGTTTCTCCAGGGCATTCTTATCCTTGATACCTAAAGCTTTTTGAGCTAAAATAAAACAGTGAATATATTTCTTCCCTTTTACCTTCACAATAATCTTTGAATGAGTAAGAATTATGTACACATATGAATTTCCCAGTGAAAAGACAAATTATGTTTTTGGTTGAGATATAATTAACATAGAGTCAATTGTATAAATCTTAAGTGTATAGGTCAACACGTTTTGTAAAATGTGTGCAGTTGAGTAACCAACACAAAAATCGAGATGTAGAATATTTTTATCACTTTAGAAAGCTCCTTTCTCCCCCTTTCTGGTCAAATTCCCTACCTGGAGGCAATTACTATTCTGATTTCTGTTACCATAGATTAGTTTTGTCTGTTCTTAAATAAGAATTTTAAATCTTTGAGAAAAGTCAGTTTTAAAAAATATTAAAGAAGTATAGTTTTTTCCATTTATTTATTTATTTATTTATTTATTTATTTATTTATTTAGATACGGAGTATTGCTCTGTTGCCCAGGCTGGAGTGCAGTGGCACAATCTTGGCTCACTGCAACCTCTGCCTCCCAGGTTCAAGGAATTCTCCTGCCTCAGCCTCCTGAGTAGCTGGGATTACTGGCGCCTGCCACCACACCTGGCTAAATGTTTTTGTATTTTTAGTAGGGATGACCAGGCTGGTCTCAAACTCCTGGCCTCAAATGATCCACCTACCTTGGCCTCCCAAGGTGCTGAGATTACAGGTGTGAGTCACCCCGCCTGGCCAGAAGTATAATTTAGTGTATTAATGTTTAATGTGAAAAACTTCTTCATACTTGTTTGTCTCTATTCTTAAGGTTAAAACTGGTTATAGATGCATATGTATCTATGTCATAGTTGAAATTAAAAAACAAAATCACAGAATAGTCTATAGAAAAGTAGATCTTTTTTGTTTTCTTTTTTTTTTTGAGACAGGGTCATGTTCTGTTGCCTAGGCTGGAGCGCAGTGGTGTGAACATAGCTCACTGCAGCCTTGACCTCCTGAGGTCAACAATTCTCCCATCTCAGCCTCCCGAGTAGCTGAGACTACAGGCGTGTAACACCGTACCTGGCTAATGTTTTTTTTTAAGAGTTGTGTTTTTGGCCGGGCGCGGTGGCTCAAGCCTGTAATCCCAGCACTTCGGGAGGCCGAGATGGGCAGATCACGAGGTCAGGAGGAGACCATCCTGGCTAACACAGTGAAACCCCGTCTCTACTAAAAAATACAAAAAACTAGCTGGGTGAGGCGGCGGGCGCCTGTAGTCCCAGCTACTCGGGAGGCTGAGGCAGGAGAATGGCGTGAACCCGGGAGGCGGAGCTTGCAGTGAGCTGAGATCCGGCCACTGCACTCCAGCCTGGGCGACAGAGCAAGACTCCGTCTCAAAAAAAAAAAAAAAAAAAAGAGTTGTGTTTTTGCCATGTTGCCCAGGCTGATCTTGAACTCCTGAACTCAATCTTCCCGCTTTGGCCTCCCAAAATGCTGGGATTACAGGCATGAGCCACCGTACCTGACCAAAAATATATCTTTATGTATTTGTCACTTGATTGTGTGTATCTTAGAAGTGATTATGCAAACCCTGCAACTATTACTGACATTTTCTCCATTTGCAGGTTCTAGAACACGTAGAGCCCTTACGTCCCTACGAATCCCTCGACACCCTGAAACAGTTCCTCCAGTATCATGGCAAGATTTTGTGTTTCTTCTGCCTGTGGGATGACTCAGTCTCAATGTTTGGAGACCGTAGAAAACTCATCCTGCATTACTTCTTGTGTGATGATACTATTGAAATCAAAGAATTGCTTCCACACAACTCAGGCCAAGATGCTACAAAAATGTTCCTCCGGAGGAGTAAGCTGCCCAAGGTGAGCAGTGGACATAACCACTTTCTGAATTTGCTTGTGAGTCAAGAGACTAGAGTCACTGTTTGGAATGTTGTGTGTTATGACTATGTGATGATAATAACCATGCACTGGTGCAGGTATTTAGAAAACTTCCATTTTGTGCTCTCTATTAATATACATCTGTGAAAGTAATACAGAGAATATGATCAATTAGAGTTGGAACATTGAAGTTAAGGCAAGTAAAGGAAAAAAGTCAAATGTAAGAGAAAGCACCTATTCATCATTGAGTTCATATCCAGTTTTATGAAACTAAATGACTCCTTAGTAAAAGAATTGCTTGTGGCTTTGGACGGGGCACTACAGACTACTGAGGAGAGCCCATGGTTTGGTCTAGGTTGTGAATACAAACACACACTATATACATGCACCTACATGTGCATGTACACATGCACCCACAAACATACACATGCAAGTTTACAAACCAAAGTGCCTTTTCTGAGTGTAGCAACTGGTCACCAACTAGCCACTAGCTAGTGGCAGTGATGACTTTTGCATTTTATTTGATATTAAAAAGAGTTGTCAGATTGATTTCTATAAATATTTATGGCCATTTGAGAGCTCATGTAATTTGGGGGCAGCAGAAACTTCCCAGACCTGGATTAGAGTTGTGAGTCTGCCCCTTAATAGTTGTGCTACCTTGGGCAAATCGCATAACCTCTTTGAGCTTATTTCCCTGTCTTTAAAATGTGGTAACATAGTAAAAAAACAAAAAAACAAAAAAACACCATCGAAGGACCTGTAAACACCTATAAGGACACTTAAAAACATAAAGCCTTTTTCAAAAGCTCTGTTATATTTTCTTTCTTATTTGGGTAAAGTATCTTCTTAGTACACATGGAAAGGTTACCATAACACTGATTTCCGAGGCAAATAACTGCTGGCCATTCAGTCCTCACGGGAGGTTTTTCCAGATTCTCTGAGCCCACTGCCAGAAGCCCTACTGCGTGTGCTTGGAGGCAGGGGAGGCACAGTTTGTCCCAGAGTGAGCCCTGGGATACGCATAGCAGGCAACCAGGAGGTGCCAGAAAAACCTGTTTTTAGAATGACTTTGAAAAATAGGCTAAATATAAAATAATAATGACATACCTGACATTTACAGTGTGCCAACATCAGGTAATTCATTTTATTCATTCATTCAACAAATATTCATTGAGTGCCACCTGTATGCCAGCCCTGGAGTTATAGTAAGAAAGGGAATGGATTAAATCCTACCACACCTTGTTTTGATTTTGTCTTCCAGAATTGCCCACCTAGAGTCTATCAACCAGGCCAGATAACAGATCGAGCGGTTCTCAATTTGTATGGTGACTTTATAAAGAACCAAGCGGATGGCTTCCTGATGGATAGATATAAGGGAAGGAACCTCACATTTTATTACCTGTTTCTAGGGTGACTTCTTTGGAACCTGAATAGTGGGGCGAGTTACATACTCTTTTCTTGTGAGATTGTGAATGAAATCGATGATTACATAAATATGCATTGTACTGCTGTTTATTAGTAATAAGCATGCTGAAATGTCTATATAAATATATGCATTGCATTGCAGTTTATAAGTATAATACTACAGTGTTAAAATAATACTTTAGAACATTAACATCAACTGGTTGCTTTTTTATTTGATTTTTAAAATTTAGTTATTAAAGACTGAAGTTTTATTTTTAATTTCCTTTTTTTCTCTGGGAAGGGGTTCCTGGTTCTTTGGAGGGTCCATGGTGCCAATGCTATGTTCCTTTGTCTTTATTAGCTAGGAGAAGTAGACCAAGAGTTTTACAAAGATAGTGACCTGTCCCTCGGAGTCACCATCAATGTGTGGGGAAGAAAAGTGCTCCTTTGTGACTGTGATGAATTTACGAAGTCTTATTATAAGTCTAAATATGGAATTGGTAAGTGATACGTATGTCAATTAAAATATTTTTAAAATTAAACTCTTTGTTCCCCAGTTAAGATTTTACTTTGGAGTTTCAAATGCTAGGCTCATAATAGCTACCACTTATTGTGCATTTGCTATCTTCCAGCTGTTTGTTGTCTTATATATTCCTAACAATTCTCTATGGGTAGGCTCATGATCCCCGTTTTAGAGGTGAAAAAAACCGAGACTTAAAGGGGGCTCATTTGTCCAAGGTTATGCAGTGAGCAAAGAGTGAGCCAAGATTTGAACTTGTCTGCCTGATGCCAGGGACTTCCATTTTCCTTTATAGTCCTCTGCCCCACTCCAGTATGGGGTAAATGTTTTGGCTGAGCAATCAAAATGGAAAATGAATGCTTTTCTTTTCACTTAATTCTTACCACAATGGGTATACCTAATTGAGTTATCAAGGGAATTCTCTTCTGCTAGTTTTGCTCTCCCTTTCCTGGTGAGGCTCAGCCAGGTCTTAAGCTTCTCTCTTCTCAGACATTAACTCCGTTCCAATAAGGTTAGTTCAGTTCAGAATGAAAATGAGCTATTGATTGAGCACCTACTATATGTAGGTCATTGTAGTAGACTTAGGAGATGCAGAATTGCATAAGAGGTTTCTAGGCTGGAAGGGGAACTGAGACCTGCAGCGTGTGACACCGTGTTACGAGTGTCTTGGAAGCTGGTGGAGGATGTGACGTGAAACCTAAAACATAAACCCTCATTTGTTAAACTCCCCTCTACCTGAGTCTCCAGGTACCTGCTGCTGCTAGAAATTGATGGGACTTGCTGACCTCCCAGTTTGGGACTGGAGTTGGGATAGGGGGTACTTAGTCCTGTACTTCTCTCTGAACCTTGGAGTATTCATATGAACACACTTCCCCGAGGGGTGAGATGGAAGCCAAGTGCAACCGCAGCTTCTTAAAAGACAAGGTGCTTTGTCTCTAGAATGAGATGAAGCCATGCTATGTGTCTTGTTGTCTGCATTGTGTAGTATTCCTGGCCTTCTGGGAGTCTCTATATTGTGAGAGAAGGCACATCAAGCACACAAAGGGGTTAGAGTAAAAAAGGCTTTCAGTTTTACTCTTGGGTTCATTAGGGGAATTTGTCACAGTGCATCTGCATGCCAGATTAGTCAAAATGTATGGGCCCTACTGGGGCCAAATTGGTGACCTCTTTTTATTTTATTTTCTAAAATTAGTCCCCTTCAGTGGACACAGTTGGGCATATTTGCCTTGGGGACTGTGGACAAGAAGCAGCCAGGAATGTGTAGGTGGCAGCTGCTCTGGAGAAGCTGCTGGTGGCCCTTAGACTATGGGAAAAGAATTTGGCCTTTAATAAATGTAGATGCCTGTTTGGAATCCATAAGTCTTTAGTATAGAATGAAAATTTAAATGTATATATGAAGATGAGTCACCAAAAACCATAACTTACACCTGATGATTACCTTAATATAAAGGACGTGGTAAATGTTCCAAAGCATTGTATGATTCCTTAAACATAAAGTCCAACTTTTGGTTGATGTTTGTCTGTCAGCTTGGTGAGAATATGAAAGTTGAATTTGGGAAAATGAATGTCCTAGTGGTGAGACTTAGTATGTTGTTAGGGTCTTAACGGCTTCTCTAGAAAATTTTTGGAGGCAATGTGAATTCCTTGTTGTGCTCCAAATCGAGTCATCCTGGGTAAATGTACCAGCTTCAAATGTCCTATGGTCCATTTCAGTTGAGTCCTTGTGCTTAATTTCTTTCTGTTCACTTCTTTTGTTCACTCTGTGGACTAATTGTATTATGTAAAAAAAAGTACTCTGTGCCTTTAAAGCTAATATAACATGAGCATTATGCATTTAAACAGAAAATTATGCAAATGCAAAATTATGATGCATTTCATAGTCGCACTGACTTTTTATATTTCTCATAACATATGTTAAAATATCCCATTTAACAGACACTATTATTACACAACATTTCTTGAGTTACAACAGTGTACTTAATGTAAGTAAAGACTAGAAATTATATCTATGATGAGGTGGAGGGGAGAATGAATCAGTATTCTCTGATAATCTTTGCGTTTGTTTTTCCTGAGTTTTTGGTAAGGTGAAATTAATATCCTTAATGTTACTTAGATACAGTTATTTCTGCCATTTTAATTTTATTTATAGTTCATCCGGTCCCAGCAATTTTTTAAACTGACCAAATTACATGTGTTATGTTTCGGTATCCTTAAAACCCAAACCAGGACAAAGTCCCATCAATCATTGTGGTTCTGTCAATAATCGTGGTCACATTTCCTCCCTTGTCAATTATTGCGTTCAGTAGAAAACCTGGGTGTCTCCACTGTGCAGCACGCAGGAAGGATCTGACAAGTACCAGCAACACAGCTAGGGGCCTCTCTAGCAGGAAGTCGGGGAAGACTTCTAACACAGAATGCAGCCTTGGTGCTTTAGTACCTTCTCCTGTGTGATGATACCCCAACATATTTTGGGGGGAGAAAAAATGACAGACAAAGACAAGGAGTTGGCCACAGTCCCAAGAAAGGTACATGGATAACCTTTCTATTTACGTAGAAGTAGAGGGCTTGCTAGAATTCCAAGAGACATTTGAGCTCCTGTGTAAAACTCAATCTCTTAAGATGATTCCTTCATACTTTTAAGGATTCTAAGGAGAAGGTGATTCCATAGATTTCTTCTCTTTAATAGTGCAGTGTGACCCCCTCCATCAGGCAGTTTGGCCATCCCTCTGGCCCTGGCTTGCCTGCTGGGCTGTAGCATGTCACTCCCTCATTATTTTATGTGAATGAACACCAACCGGCAGATGGAGGTCTGTTGATCTTTCCTATAGCATGAAGGTTGAAAAAGGCTCTAGGGGTTCCAGCAGGTGTTTCTTTCACTAAAAGGACAGGGATCAAATGTAAACTGTTCATACATAGGAATTTCTGCTTTAGGTTGTTAATTGTCTATCAGTGGACTTTCTTATTTTTTCTTAGTGGCTGGGACAATGAAACTAGTAAGACTGTTCATTCTCATTGCTTTTGAACACTTATTAGGCTATACTTAGATTGAACAAAAATCTTAAAGACCTTTAATTTTGTGGAGTCATTTCTGGCCATCTCTGAATTTTTAGGAACAGCGGAACATTTAAGATGAGTGTTTAATGATTATTTGAGGGAACTGGACATTTAAAATTGCATCAATAGGATAGCATTGGCTTCTGGTCTCATCACATGGTCCTGATGGACCTAACAATTTTGGTTTTTTTGCTTCCCATATAAAATGAAGATGGTTGAGATGGGAGGATTCTTAAAGATTTTATAGCTCTAACATGATGTGATTCACGAATTTAGGTTTCATTGAAATCATTTGATGTGGGTATTGAATACAAGTACAAGTGGATTTACCTTGAAGCTAATGAATCATAATCTTTAGAGGTCTTCCTTTCCAGGGGTCCCAATCCAAGGCCCTGGCCTAATTTTGTCTTAGTAGTTTGACATTCTTCGTCTAGAAGAGCTTCGCCCAAATTATTTAAGCTTCTAGCCTCCCAAAACCTGTATTCATCTCTAGGCTACTAGAACATAAGCAATGAAATTGAAGGCTTTTCCCAGTAGTCTTTCCCACTGAGATGGGGAATAGAAAATCACCACGAAGAAACATTAAGACTCCTTTGTAATATGTATCATCTCTCTGCCAATTTGTTGGAATCTCGTCAACCATGGATGGACATTCGAGATATATATATATATATATATATATGTTTTGACAAGTCACTTGGAATTAGAGAAATCAGATAGTTAAAAGATATATCTGTCTCAGGATCTAGCAGAATGCCAACTTAAGACATTGGGGAAGATGCTTTGTACAAAAATGTATACTTTTTCATTTATTCAATGAATATTTTTGAACACCTAAAACATGCGGGATGCTGGGATGATGGAAAACCAAAGTGAAGAAACTTGTCATTCAGCTGTGAGTTCAGAGCTTTGTGAATGTATGCAAATTACCCAGAGAAATGGAATTTAAAGTTGGATCTTGAGCCAGAGTTTCCAAAAAGATGTATGTAGTGGTATAAAAGTCAGGCATGATGGAGTGGAAAAGTTCTCAGCTTTTATACACTAGATGGCACTGTGGGTGCAGAGGAAAGCTCTAAATTGGTTCTTTTGTTACTTAAATCTGTTGCAAAAATTATATGGTTGAGAAAACAACAGTGTGTTATAAGCCCTGTAATTCTGGGGGGAAGTGTAGAATGCAGTCCTAATTACTTTGAGATTCAATATGTGTCCTCTTTTGGTTAGACTGCTTAGATTGGTACGTAGAGTTGTATGTATATGTCTCCTGTTGTAAGAAACTGCTCAGGCCCAGATTTTTTAGTAATCACATAGAGCTCTCCTGCCATGGTTATGATGCTCTTCCTGAAATGAAAGACCAAACAGTGGTGCGTTAGATGTAATGGTTAGCAATGATAGAATCTACTGCAATTCTGCCCAATTCCAAGATTTGAACTCTCCTCTTTATTTCCAAGACTTTTCTTTAATCACCACAAAAATAGTAATAGTTGAAGCTCACAAGTCACTTCTGTACAGGCAGACTGGCTCCCCCCTTTTACTGAGTCACCTTTATAAACATGTCTGCTGTAAGCAGTCTCTGTTAGGATGTAACAATACTCTTTTGGGGATTGTGTTTGGGGAAATTTCACACAAAGGCTGCTAGGAAGTCTAAGGAAATATGAAAGCTGAAAATGTTTTCAACAAGAGTTAGAAATGGCCTCAAGCTCTTAGCCTTTTGATCATCAGTTAAAACACAAAACAAAAACAAAAAAACCACCTTAATATTAAGAGTTAGGTTGTCTTGGATGAAAAATTGATCTCCATTTTCTCTTCTAGAGGTGTACACTAAAATTTGTACTCTTCCTCTATGAGAACATCGACAGTGGAAAAGGAAATATTTGCTTATGTAGAACTCCTTTCATTCATGATTGAAAACACCTATGTCATACTGAAGCTTAGAGAAGAAGTAGAAAATAGATTCTGTGGGAGTTTGTTTTGTTTCGTTTTAGGAAAGATCTGGCATCTTTTTTGCCATTTATGTTGGAGACAAACACAGTGACTTGGATAGATCGGGTCAATATGTTCCTTGCTCTGGAGAGCACGGTTGCTTCTGAGATTGTACAGCCTCGCAAATGAGTACCTGAAAGCTCCTAGGCTATTACAAATATCTTACCAGCTCTCTCTCCATCTCTCTTTCCTCACAGATGATAAGTATATAAATAAAATCAACAGTATTTACCGCATAGCACTCCCTTGGAGAGAGTAGGCAGTTGGCTATTTTAAAAGTTTTTTCTCTTTCTGTTTTGTTTGTTCACTTCATTGCATTTGAGTGCAATTGTAGTCTTTTCTTGGGCTTAACAAAAGCTACCTGGGGCTGTGGCTGGTGAGAGGAAAGTTTTATTTTGGTGTTTGTTTTTGAACTTCATAGGGAAATACTATGACCTGGAGTTGATTTGGAGGCAATGGAGGGTACTCAAATAGAGGGTGCAGTAGGAGGAGATGGTGGATGGGGAAGGATAAAGGTGAATAGTGAGGAATAAGTCCTGTTTGGAAAAGAATTTTATTAGTGAGTGTTGACTGAGATAGGAGAGGGCTAAATTACAGGTTAAAATATGGAATGAGTGGCATAAAGTTTCAAGTATGAATTTTCATATTATTGGAAAAATCAGAGGAGAACAAAAAATATTCAGAAATGGGAATGTGATGACAAAATATAAACGTTTACTTATTTGACATAGATTCTTTTTTTTTTTTTAACTTTTGAACCAATGGTGATTATTGAGTTCCATGGTTTTTGTAAACATGATTGAAACGTACTCTCACAGGATTTTGCTGTGTTTTGTTTGAAAGAGTTTAAAATAGTCTACAAAGATCTCCATGTTGATCTTGAAAACATAACAAACCTTTCAAAACAGCCATAATCAGGGCAAAAAAAATACTGATGTTTTGTTTGCCTTTGTTTTGTTCTAGAGAACTTTACCTCAGTTTCATGCAAGCCTCCTTCTCCTCCTCCAAAAATAGAAAGGAAATTTCCACCTTACAACGGTTTTGGTTCTGAAGAGGATTCTCTCCGTACCTGCATAGGCCTCAAGCCCACACCTCATCGGAGGAACTTCAAGAAGTTTATGGAAAAAGACAGGTACTTGAGGGAACCATGATTTTAGTCTGATCTTTCCCAAATGTGTTTGGGGTTTATAACACAGTTCTCATGACAAAACAGATGTCACGCAGCTCATCTAATTACAAGTCCGGGGAGACATTATTATAGGCTTTTAATGAGGTTGATTAACATGCACGTATTAACAGGTTCTTACTTGAGTGCTTATTTTAGTAAGTATCATCTGGAGGCCCCTAAAGTAATATTATCTCCAATCTATGTTGCCTTTCCATATCTATCTATATGTCTGTCTCCCGAAGATGGGAAAGATGTAGAGTAGGAGTTAGCAAGCTCTTTCTTAAAGGGTCAGATAGGAAATATTTTTGGTTTTGTGGGCCATACGGTGTCTGTCACAACCACTCAGATCTGCCTTTGTAGCGTGAAAGCAACCACAGACAGAATGTAAATGGTTGTGTGACTGTGTTCCAATAAGACTTTTTTTATGGACACTGACATTCAAGTTTGATATAATTTTTACATATCACAAAATATTACTCTTATTTTGATTTTGCCAACCATTTCAAAATGTAAAAACCATTCTTATCTCAAAAGTCATATAAAAACAGGTGGCCTGGTGGATTTGGCTCACTGACTGTGGTTTGCCAACCCCTGCTATAGAGATTTCAAGGATTTATACGTGTTTTTAAAAATGTTACTTGGTGATTAATGTTGTTGTTTTCACTTGAGAGGTTGGTTGAGTTCAGTAACCATAGATTTCTCACTTGGCTGAATATAATTTTACATGATGGACTTCCAGAAGTATTCCTAATAGACATGGAGAACAACCTGCCTGTAAATCATGCAGATAGAATGTAGACACTGCCCTTGGCTACTTTTTGCTTCTGCAGGGAGAGCAAGCCCTGGAGAAAGAAGTCAGGGGGAAAAGTGGTGGGGAAACATTGTAGGTGCTTGAATAGGATGTGGGCTAAGGGTTGCAGTCCTGTGTGAGGCAAATAATGGATCAGGAGATCCTGGGGGAGAAACATTGATAAAGGGAATGTGGTAAGTCTAGGAGAAGGAGAAGAAAAAGACATCCTGAATTTCATAAAATTGATTGGGGTCAGGTGTTGTTGTAGAACATTCGAAGGAGAGAGAACAGTAGTTGTGTTATAGTTGTAAAAGTGGTAAAAATCAATTAGGAATTATATAGAATGTCTAAAAGTCTGCCTTTGCTATGACATGATGTCCTTCGTCTTTCTAGAAATAATCTTTTATTTTTAAAGACTTTAGGGTTCTATTTTTAAGTTTTAGATTTGATGCTTCTCAGGAATGGTCCCTGTACTTTTTAGAAATGCTAATTATTGTGCCTCCCCCCACCCAGATCGACTGAGATAGAAGCTCTGGGGAAGGGGCTCAACATTCTGAGTTTTCTCAAGTCTTCCAGGGGATTCTGAGACACACCAGTGTTTGAGAACCACTGATTTTTATCACATAAGAGGGTTGCCAGCTTATTCTCTGTCCTCCCTTATCGAGAACAGTGTTTAGGTGAGGTTCCAGGGTAGGACTTTTGATGACTAACTTCTGTTTTTAAGGACGGCCACCCGAAGGAGGTGGGCAGAAAGAATGTCCCTATTGTAAAAGGAGAGGGAATTTTTCTTATAAGTAAACAAGATGAAATATTATCCAGGGTGTTGCTTCTGGAACCCAGGGGAAAACCGTTCTTTGTGAGTAGTTGATTTAGTCCCTCTTTCTGTCTACACTGGGTCAACTTGCCCACAGAACACTGACTGTAGATGGTATTCTATGTTCTTGTCATGTTGTCATGGCTGAAGGGTGGTAGTGTAGGCACAAATGTCTCTTATTTTGTTCTTTCTGTCCACTGCTCAATCTGTGCCAGGAATACACTTTCCTCAAGCTCTTCTCACACAGGGACCGTGTTTCCATAGTAACTAGCACATTCAGCTGGAGACTTATACATGAGTTTGAATAACCCAAGGTTTTAAAACTGTAAGAACCTAAGGAAGATGATTTCACAAAGCATACAAAGAATAGTTTTTTAAAATACAAGTAAACTGTGAATTGAGACATGAAATTGTACATGACACTTTGATTATATATATATTGCTATTAAAAATGTACTTGGTGCTATTGTTGTGAGGTTAACGCTGATCTATGAGTCATTGGAGGGAATAGTTTCAGATTAAAGCATATGAGCTTTTGATGGATGTAAAGATCTTCTTTATTATCTGGGTAGATATCACTGTGGTAGCCTGCTGGGCAGATTGTCTAGTCTGAGGAGGGAGAGCCAGGATAATATCTTTCTTGCTGCACCAGGCTGAATTAGTTACTGTGTTCTTTGTGTGCCCACAGTACTCTGTTGATTATATCTCTAATAATAATGTTATTACTATTGCTGATTACTCATAATAAGCCATTAGTGGTTACTATGTGCTATGTTACAATACTTAATCTAATTTAATCATCAAATCTTTGGAAAGTAGATAATGTTATTGTACCCATTTTTTACATGAGAAAACTGAGGCTCAGAGAGGCCATGCAACTTCCTCAAGGTCACACAGCTAATTTTTAGTTGAACTAGGAACTGAACCCAGGGAAATCTGACTTCTGGAATTTACCTGTCTTTCGACAGAATCTATACATATAACAGTGCATGTTAAGGACTTGTTTATGTAATTTGTGGGCTCCTTTTAGACCAAGAGCTCCTTGAGGGCAGGGGCCAGCTTTATTGCTTCCATAAGAGCTGGTGCTGGCTATATATTTGGGGATCAATAGTTTGTCTAAGAAGAGAAGGAATGGATGAAGAAGTGAGCAAATAGAATAAATGTTCACTCATCCAGTTCTTAATCATGGATAGAAGAGACAGATGACTTCTCACTGGGAGGGTTATTATCCCAGATTTGTGCCAATCATAGCCATATAGCATCCAAAAATTCGTGGTTTAATCTTCATCTCTGTCTTGTTACAGATATTGTCCATCTGCTTTCCCCACCAGTCATTTTTTTCCTTCTTTTAAAAATGTTTCCCCATTAATAAAAATAAGCCTTCGTGTGTCTTCCAACCATAAGATTCTATAGCTATAGCTATATTTGAGGTTTTTAGTAGGTGTATAGCCCTGGATGAGCCATTCATTATCTTAGTGAACAACTATTTCTTGAATCCCTGCTGTGTGCCAAGCAATGTTCTGAGTGTTTGGGATACATCAGCGAACAAAATAGACACCAAGGCCTGCCATCGTGGAACTTATATTCTAGTTCTAGGAGGTGGACCATCAATTAATACATAAGTAAATTACGAAATATTTACAAGATGTTAAGTACCATAAAAAAATAAAGAAGGTATTAAGTTGCTGTGGAAAGAATAAAGGCAGATTGGGAGTATGGGGCTGAGGAACGTTCTTGGTTGCAATTTTAAATAGTGTGGTCTTGAGGGACTTTACTGAGGAGAGGAAATGTGCTCCAGGCAAAAGGAACAGTCGGTGTAAAGGCCCTGAGCAAGAAGTGTGCTTGGGATATTCAAGGAGCATCCGGGAGGCCGACATGGATGGAGTAGATGAGTAAAGGGCAGAGCACATGGAGAGGAGATGAGAGTGTATGGGGAACTGGGTACACAGGGCTTTACGGACTGTTTAAGGACGCTTTGACTTTGAGTGATAAGGGGGCCATTAGAAAATTTGAGCAGAGAAGTGACTTGAGCTGATTTTCTTTTTAAAAGAATCATTCCAGTGTAATGTTGAGAGCAGACTATAGATGGCAATGGTGGAAATTAAGACCGGGTAAGAAGCTACTGCAGTAATCCAAGAGAAAAGTTTTGGTGGCTCAGATCTGGGTGAGTGCAGTGGAAGTGATGAAATTAAATAGTGGATCCTGGAAATATTTTGAGGGTAGGGCCAGTGGGATTCCCTGACAAACTGGTTATGAAGTATGAAAGAAGTGAGGAGTTAAGATGACTCAAAATTTGGGCTTGAGCAACTAGAAGGGTGGAGTTGCCATCCACTGAGATGAGAAAGACTGGAGATGGGATAGGTTTAGGGACAAGAGTAGAAGTTCAGTTTTAGAATGAGTTAAGTTTGGGATGTCTATTAGATATCAAGTGGCAATACCAAGTAGGCAATTGAATACATGTGTGAGTATAGGGTTCAGAAGATAGGTGGACATGGATACCATCAGCATGTAGATGGTATTTAAAGCCATGATACCAAATGGTATTAAAGCCTTGAGATTGGATGAGATCACCAAGGGAGTGAATATACATAGAGCGGAGCATGACCAAGGAATAAACTCTGAAACATCCCCAATTAGGAACTTGGGGAAAAAAGGAGGAACCAACAAAGGAGACTAAAAAGGAGCAAACAAGGAGGTAGGAGCAAAACCAAGAGAATGCTGGATCCCGGAAGCCAGTGAAGCAAGAGTAACACTGAAGGAGTGATCATTTGTGCCGGTTGCTGCTGATTGGTTAAGTTAGATAGGCACAAAAAATTAAGCATTGGAATTGGCATTGTGGAGATCATTGTTGACCTCTACAAGAGCAGTTTAGGTAGAGCAAACCTAATGGAAATGGATTCGAGAGAAAATGGGAGAAGAATTTGACATAATGATTTTAGATAACTCCGAGCTGTACGTAGAAAAAGTTAAGCCATGGCTTCTGGACCTAGGAATTTATAATTTGTTTGGGGACAACGGGAACAAACACATTTTTAAAACAACCATCCAAGAGTACAAGTCTATATAGAGCTAAATTGGGTGTGACCTTACAATTGATGCAGGAGGTATAAGTAGGTGGTCAGCTGGAGTATTGTGATAAAAAAGAATATTCTGGGAAGTTTGAGAAGTAGTTATTAGGGAAATATCTGAAGACACTTGCAGTGCTTCTCAAAGTATGCCCAGGGGACCACCTTATCAGAATCTTCTGGGGTGCTTATTAATAATGCAGGTTTCTGGAGATGTGAGCTAGCTACTGAATCCCCCCATATCTCTGGGGATGGGACTCTGGATTCTGTATATTTAACAAGCTCCCCAGGTGATTTTTATATACAATAAACTTTGTGAACTGCTAGTCTGAAAATTTTATTGAGTAGATTATATTCTCGATTGATGAGATCTCCAGAACACTAGATTTAGGTAAAAAAAAAAAAAAAAGGCATATTGAACGTGTGAAGAACCCACACTTAACATATACACTTATAAATTATAAGAAGTTAAATTTACAGTAATATTCCTTTTCCTGAAGTTAGACCTATCCTGTTTCAGTGATATTTCGGGTATCTGAAATGTTATGGCTTTTTTGTGTGAGAGGGGCTACCAAATCTATTTGTTACTTACAAACCCAATTATGTACCAGCGAAGATGGTTGACAAGGCATAGCTTCTCCCCGCGCCCCACGCACTATATGAGGTCTGTCTGAAGCCTGGGAATTGGGTACTGAGAAAACAGCCATGCAGACCTGGCTGCTTTGCTCAGGCTGTTTTGGGGTGAGCTTTCCAAACTGCTGCATACCATCTCACATGGGGCCTCAAGCCTAGGAATCTTGGTGCCATCCTTTCTCAGCCATCATTCTTGTACAGCCCGAGAAAGGGGCAGAGAAAAGCACTTTTTGCCTCTGCAAGTCAGAAATACTTGTTTTATTTTTCTAATCACTGTGGACACAAGGGAAGAATGATTTTCAGCCTGGGAGACCCTGCAAGGGAAGACTTCTCTGCGTAGAGTTGTGACAGAGGACATGGTTTATTATCCTGTGTATCTCCCTGGGGTAATGATTTTAGTTATCAAAGACCTCTCCAAGGGTTTACTGTTTGTTACAAAGTCCACCTTTCACTAGCTGATATCCGCAGACATGCTTCTGCTGACAGATCAGAAATCAGTTTCTTCAGTGACCAGGCAATCAACTTTGGTAACTTTTAATTCTGTAATTTCATCCTATCTTTATCTATGCATAAAATTCTGAGTGCAAATTCCAATCAATACAGATCTCATAACAATTTTCCATAAACATTTATTGAATACTTGTAATGTAAAAAGTATTATATTAGATAATGGTTAATAAGACAGTCTTTGTCCTTGGAAAACAGACTTGTAATGGCTTACAATATGAGTGATAAGCGCTATTAAAAAAAAAAAAAAAGGTGGGTCCATCCTATGTGTTATAGCATTTGAAAAGGAAAAGTTAATTTGTCTCTTGAAGAAAGTTGGGGGGATGCTGGGGAGCTGGAGGAGTGAGTCAGAGAGGGGAGGATGTGGGCTGGAAAACAGAAAAGCAAAGGGCATGAGACAGTGAGTGGTGAATGGGGGAGGTAGCCTCAGATACTGGCAGAGCCCAGGATTGCCCACGCAGTAGGGCTAGGTGCTTGCTCTTCTTTCCAGCGTGATTATTGTGATTGGTGACTAGCCTCGTCATTAGACAACAGCCAGTTAGCGCAGCTGGTTTGAGCAGTGTGTTTATGACGTTTGTTTTGGGTTCATTTTCCCAATGTGTTACCCAGGACATGTGAAGAATCAGAGATATCTTAATATACTGAGAAAATTCCTCTGCATTTAGATTTAGAACCTTAATTAGAAGACGGTTGAACTCTTTCACTTTGGACAGTTTATGCCTACTATATTAAAGCCATATTATACCTTTTGCAGACTTTTAAAAACATAATATGTGGAAGATTACCTGTATAATGCTGTAACTCTCATTTCTGTTCCATTTAGCTATGGCTTCAACAGCAATATACTCCGTTTTTTTGCAAAACTAGTCACAGACAAATGTGTTGACTTGGACAGGATGTTTGTTATTTCATATTATCTCAGTGATGACACCATTTCAGTGTTTGAACCTATAGAGAGGAATTCAGGTAAGAGATATCCTTCTCACAGTATTTTCTTGAGAATGTTTTAAGTGTCTCTTCATGTTGAAAATTAGGGAACATGATCTGGTTTTGTAGCCTAGATTATCTACAATAGAGGCTTTATTTAAAAAAAAACAAAAACCCGAACAATAGAGTTCTTTTTACAAATCTCTTAAATGGGAACCTAAACATTTAAAATGATAGAAGTGAAACAGTTTTGGTTGGCTTAGGGCCAGGGGACCTGGAGTTACTTCCTTTTTGCCACTATCCCCACTTCCACTGTGACTTCTGAGGCACCTCTATGGAACCCAAGGGCTTCAAATTCATGGTCTGGGTACCACTAGTTTTACTTGTAGCCAGCAAGCCAAGAGGAAGTCTGTATTCTTGATAGTCCTACTTACAAAATTTTTGTTTGGCTGTAAGACAAGAGTCCCAGATACACAAATTCAATCGTCAGGGTCCATCTTTATCTGGTCCTTCTGTCTGTTGAGGTTGTTGCCAAGGTTCCCGCACTCAGACTCATAGAATGCCTCTCTGCAATATGCTGGTACCACCGTCACTGCTGAGGAGAGCCATTAACTTACCCAATCATGGCACTGTAGGATCCTGTTCTTTGTCTCAACACGTTTAGAACTTTTATCTGTGCTGAAGACATGCATTTGGGAAGAATAATCAGTGATGTGCTGGTTAAGTGGCTCTTTGAAAAGATTTTAAAAGCCCTGATTTGTACTGTTTGCCAGTTTCCATGGTGTGAATACCCCAACCATGGCCAATTTCAAGCAGCCAAGAGTTTAAAAACTGGCTTGCAAAATCTCTGAAAATTCGACTCTCAGCTCCTATGAGCTGATATGAGCTACTTAGCACACCGATGAGTAATGAATAGCTTGTATAACTAAGGCTCCACAGTGATTTGAATAATGGATCAAATCTTAAAATATGAAATTGCATAGGGATGAATATAAGTCATGCTCTTACAGGTCAAAAATCAACTCTATACACTTAGAATGGGGGAGATGTGGCCAAACAAGTTGCAGCATGTGTGAAACAGAAAGGAGTGATGGTAGTCAGCAGCAAGCTGTACTTGCTTGCAGCAAGCAAGTAATCACAGTGGCCATGATTGAGAACTTACTATTATCCTTACAAGGACTTTATGAGGTTAGATTTTGTGTTAGTCCAGCTCCTCCGAGAAGCAACTACCAAGACAGGATTAAATGTGCAAGAGATTTAATAGGGGGAATGCTGGTGAGGGAAAATGTGGAAGGAGCCAGAAAAGGCTGGGAGAGCTGTCAGACTATAGTGCAGTTCTGACACCTGTGAAGCTCAGAGGGAAGGAAGAAAGAGGGAGTCTTAGACTGCAGTGAAATTCTAAGAAAATTTCGACAAGGTCGACAGGGAGTCCTTGAGGCAAAGTTGCTAGTTGGAGGAGTCCTTGTTTTGTAGGAGTGAGCCTGTCTTACTATCCCTGCCTTGGTCACTCATCTATTGGCAGCAGCCTGTGGGAAGAGTGACCTCAACACACACCTGAAGATTGATTTGAGAACACAACAGCTGGGGCCTTCCATCAGTTATGTTCTTCACTATAGGCGACCTGAGAAGTACATTTTCTGGGCCTCCACACATCTGATTCCCATTGTACCAATAAGAATTCAGAGAGATTAAATAACTCCTAAAGATCACCCAGCAAGTAAGTGACAGAACTTGGAAGCCTGTGTCTTTTTACCACCTATCATTTCTGAATGTGGTAGGAGAAGTGGGATGAAGCCCAAAAGCTTATCTGGTCTCAGGCTATATTTATAGGTCTGTAGATTTCAGTTCAGTATCAGAAGATGCTGGAGTTCCCTGTTCAACTCTACTGCCTACTTTCCAAGAGGTCAAAACAAATAATGTCTAGAAGAGAACAGATGAAATGGTGACAGCTCTGGAAACTAATATGAAGCATTACTAAAAGAAGCAAAGGGATTTTACCTGTAGGAAAAAATGACTTAAGGGGACTCCCATAGTTACCTTTAAACACTTAAGTAATCTCCTTTACAGAAGTAGGGCATTTGCTACTTAATCTGCATGTCAGATTAAATATAAGACATCATCTGGGACAAATAGGTGGAAATATGCACAAGTGAGGAATTTTCTAACTGGTACTGTTCAAACATGCTCTAAAGATGAGTATCTTCCTGATGTTCCACACTCCCAGTATGCTGCTGGGCATATATAGGAGGTCCCTGCCAAGTGCTTATTGGACTGGGAAGAGAGTAGAGAGAAAAAAAGGCTAGAATTACACATCTTTTTTTTTTTTTTCTCTCTCTCTCTCTTTTTTTTTTTTTTTTGAGATGGAATCTTGCTATGCTGCTCAGGCTGGTCTTGTACTCTTGGCCTCAAGCGATCCTCGTGCCTCAGCGTCTTGCGTTGCTGGGACTGCAGGCACATGCTACCATGCCCGGCTTTGCTTTTTGTCTTGAACACCCTTGCCTAGGAATTCTTACTCCTTCACTCACTGCCTCATTCTTCCCTTAAGTCCAAAACAATAGGCAATATTAGTTCACAGGTAACTTATATGGTGGTCTGTGCTTGAAGATAAAGTAACTCTGAAGGCAAGTCAGATGGTTCTTTTAAGAATAAAGGCTGCTCATGAACTTTTCTATTTTTCTATAGGAATTACCGGTGGGATGTTCTTGAAAAGAAGTCGCGTTAAGAAACCTGGACAAGAAGTCTTTAAAAGTGAACTATCTGAATATATCAAGGCTGAGGACCTGTACATTGGAGTCACAGTGAATGTGAATGGTTACCTATTTCGTTTGCTCAATGCTGATGAGTATACCTTAAACTACATGGAGCAGAATACAGATAAGGTGAATTTACTTTGTGTAATTCTTCACTTGCCTCTCAGCCCTCCGCAGTCTGTGTTTTTCTTTCTCTAGGGCCTTTTCTTCTTCATCTTGCCACCAGTTTTACATTGTGCATTCATACATGTGGGCATGAATAATGGATTCGTGTGACTTGGCCACATGTCCCATCACAGAGGCCAGGTTCTTGTCTACTCTGTTTACATGCTGGGTTCTCCTCTGCCCAGCATCACAGATTCCAGGCACAGGCAGGAGGCAGGGCCAGGGTTGAATCAAGTTTCCTGGGTTTTTTGCTGACACTAACAATGTTTTCAGAAAGAAATTCGACTACTATAGGAAAGGAAGAAAAATCTGGTGCCACACACTGTGCCGTCCCAGTTAATTGGCACAGGCCAACAGAGAAGGCCAAGACCTGAACAAACAGAAACCTCAAGGGAACTGAATAGTTGCTGGAGTTGCAACTTCCCATAACAGTGGCCACCTGAGGCCTAAATAAGGATTTCAGGATAAACTGGCGACAGTGAGCTCAAAGAGTTTTTTTTTTTTTTTTTTTTTTTTGAAATAAGATGGCAGATGGGTACTGTTATTGTGGCAATGCTGTTCAGTAAAAATAACATATTGATAAAATCTGGATTTTAAATGTGGGCTAGTTCAGTGTACAAACATGTTTATTTGGGAATCATTGCCTAATATGGAAAAATCTATCTGGAAAATTTTATTTTAAAAGTTTACCTATAAGTGATAATATTTATGTACCATTTATATACATACAGTGCCAATTTTGTCTCATTTATATATAAAATGCCTGGGGTTAAGTTGCTAAGATCAGTGTCTCTGTGTACATCACATCATTCATATCAGTTTGGGTCCTCTGAGAAGCAGACACCAAGACAGAATGAGAAGTGTGAGAGATGTCGTGGGGGAAATTTCTGAGAAGGATAAAGGGGGAGGGGGACAGGAGCGGGCAGGGGGGCCTTCAGACCAGGAGACAGGTTGAACCCCTGTGGAAGGAGAGAGAAAGGAAGGAGGGGTGGGTAGGGAAAGCCTCAGCTGACAGCGCAGCTCTGAGAATGTCTCACTTTCTCAGTGAAGGGGAGCCCCAGAGCACAGACTGCCCATCAGAGAGGTCCCCTGTCAGGCAGGAATGGCCTGGCTCTAGTTCCCCTGCTGTGCTGTGTCATTGGGTGGGAACAGCCTGGGGAGAGGGTGGCCCCAGCAGCGACATTGCCTGTGAACTCTGTGTGAATCTGGAAGATATGGCAGCTGGAGTCTGTCAGGCAATGATGCTTTTCTCCACAGGGTCTCTCTTGACAGGAGGCCTGCAAAGCGCCCTCCATGGCTGCCACACCATCTCTCCATTTATAGTCTTCGGGATGCAGGTTATCATAAAACCATGAACCAGGAGCTATTCAAAAACACTGAATCTAGACGAGAAGCTCAGTAATCGGGAGTTTAGATTTCTGGAAACCAGCAGGCCTGGCTTGGGAACCTGACTCCACGTTAATAGCTGAGGGACCTTAGATACGTATTTTTCCTGAACTTCAGTTTCTTCATCTTTGGAATGGAAGGAACAACAGTGCCTATTTGATAGAATTGCTATGAAGATTAGATGTGATAATGTGTGTGAAGCTCTGAGCTAACCATGAGGCCCATGGTAAGCTCAATCAGTGTTACTATTGTAAATTAGAATTCTATTTCCAATCAGAGGGTGAACCTATACCGTAATATAAAATATATATAGTATAAATATAAGATATAAAGGTTTTTTTTGTTTTTTTTTTTCCTTTGGGGACAATAAAAGCAGGGTAGGACATTATCTGGAATCAGCATCCCAAGTGAAAACTGCATTATTTTAAAACTGCCCTTAACAAAGACATTCTAAGCAGAGAAAGTTTACTATACTATTTAATATCGGCCTGAGGAATCTTTTCAAAAGAGCTAATAGATCCTGTCATGGAAATAGATGAAAGGAAATGCAAAAAAGTGGGAGGAGTAGGGGTCTGTGATAGGCGCCAAACCACCTGGGTCATTTTCTGGTGGGAGAGAGGGATCTTTAGACTAAATTACCATCAACGTTTTTATTTTAAAATTTCATCTTCTCATTTTTGATCTCTTAGCTATAATTATTTACGACCTTATGTTTCACTGGGATGCAAGAAGTATTCTTACCAAGTCAAAAAGCTAGTCACAGGATAAGAGACAGGAACAGTAGACAGCCCAGAGAATGACTGTGCGAGGGGTTAGGGTGCCTGTGTGGATCTTCCATACCCAGCCTTGCTCTCATCAGTGCGTTGCCTAATGGATAACAGTTCCAGGGGGACCCCATTCTAAAGATCTAGAGAAAATGGAGGGCTACTTACCCAGTTTTGAATCCCCATTTTCTCCGTTAGGATCTCCCAACATATTGGGCCGACATCCAAGGGTTATAGGGAGGAGGCTGAGATGGAAGCAGGAGTTGTTTTCTGATCTCTGTGGCCTCGTGTTCCTTAAGCTCGTTTCCCTCAGAGCTGGGGCCTATGCTGATGTCAGCTGTTGTCCAGAAGCTTTAACTGAGGAGATTCAAAGCTAGTCATGCCTTCTCGGTGTTGGTTTCTTTGCAAAGACAAACCTGCTAACTTCATGTGCACAGTGTGAAGTCCCTTTACTGGCCATGAGCAAGATTGGGCTCCTGAACTGTTAGGAATATTTAAATATGTTTTTCCTTTCATTTCCCCCTTACAGTATCCTTTCAGTAACCTCAAACTTGCCCTACAAAAGCTGAAGCAAGAAGAAGCAAAATCCAGAGAGCTCAAGCAGGTATTCAGAGCTGCTGACCGTAAGCACACAAAGAAGGTGGATTATAATACATTCAGGTAAGCCATATTCTGCTAACAGTCATCTGTTTTCCCCTCAAGGTTGTCCAAAGAACAGAAAGAACTGTTTCTTTCCTAATCAGTTAACTATTTTTTATTAGGAATTGGCATTTCTTTGAGTTTGTATTATTTTGTAGTCAAGTTTTGGCCACTAATACTCTAGTAAATGTTATGAATTTACATATAAAAGGAGTTTGTACATGGGAACAGAGGGACAAGAGCATAGAAAGTCAGTTGGTGACATTGTCTTATGAATCAGGGAGTTGAAGGATCAGCAGAATGCCAGGAATGGTGCATCTGAGTGAGAAAGACAGAAAAAAGCACTGCTAAGAGCGCCTCCCCACCACCGAAATCTGGGGGACAAAGGAGGGACATCTCCAGGAATGTGATGAAGTTGGAAAATAGTAAAAACTTCACCGATTATCAGAGCAAAGGTGATATGTATGCATCTGTGTATACGTGTGCTTGTACACATATGTGTATTCTGAAAGACATGAAAATACAGGAATCGAGGGAAAAATATGTGACAGTAGTGGGAAATATTATAACAAATCTTGATCAAGGTTTTCTCTAAGGTGAAGCTGAATTCTGGGACTATCCAGTGGCTGACCGAGGCAAATTTTCAAACAGCGGAAACACAGGGAAATTCAAATTCAGGGTCTAGTACAATTGTGAGACTTCTTAGGCTGAAAACAAAGTGAATGGAGCGTTTAGGAGAATAAATTAAATCATGGATAGAGGACAAAGGGGACTTTCTCTTTAGGCTGAGAATTCTGGCTCCTGACAAGGATAGTGGCTGAAAGCTATATAGTAAACTCTGCTTGATGCAGTCAAGATGTGGGCTGAGAAATGAGGAAGTGAGCCCAGGAGAGGGTAGCAGGGAGATCTTTCCAACTTTGTGTCTGCAGTCGCCTATTGCATCACTACCTGGTGGCCTGGAGCCCACCATTAGGCCCAGAGTGTCCCAAGAGCTCATTTGTTGTTTTAACAAAGCTCTTTTGTGTCTCCAAAATGTTCTTTGGAGAGAAGCAGTCAGAGGACATATTTTTATTGTTTAGAATTCCCAACCTTCTGGGATCAATAAGAATTTATAGTTCTTTGTTATTGTTCATAGTCACATACACATGTTCATAGTGTTTTGGAAAATAAATGGAGACAGTAAAGAGCAGAGACAATTACTCAGGCCATGGGCTAATGGAAAGCAGTGGAGGAGAAAGCAAGAAATTTCCATCAGAAATGAGGGAGTGGTTTTGTTTTATTATTTGTGTCCTTTTACAAAAGCATCCATTTTTCCAACACTTGCAAAGTCTATTGGAAACACTTTAGTGAGTTTATAGGGCTTTTTGGGAAGCACTTAGGCCAGGCAGGCGATCCAAGGAGGAAAAGTTGCTTTGCAGATGGAGACCTGACCCTAATTGTGGGTGGGATAAAAGACCACTATGCTGTGATTGGAGGGGTAGCCTCAAGGAGCTGCATGCTCAAAAAGAAGGACCTCTCCGTCCCAGAAATTCCTTAAAATGAAACTCAGATCAGGTTCAGGTTTCGCCTGGCTTGAAAAATCCTTCAGTGGCTTGCCATTGTCCTCACAATAAGATCCAAACATTTGACTGCAGCCAGCAAGGCCTTGAGTGATGTGAGTCTGTTTGTATTTCCAGTGTCATCACCTCTTTTTCTGCAGCCCTGTCTTTTGGCCTCACTGACTGTCTTTCGGTTTCTCAAACACATCAAGCTCTTTCCTGACTCTTGGCCTATGCACACCCAGTTCCCTCTGCCTGGAATGCAGTCACCACCACCCTCTGCGTAGCAAACTCTAGGACTCATCTCAAATGCCGGCTCCCAGAGGGGCTTTCATTCCGAGGGGCTTTCTAGATCCTATCTAGAGTAGATCACCTGCTGTTATTCTTAGCCACTTGTTTATATTTTTCCCAGCACTTAGCACAACGTACAGTTATTTTATTTAGAGATCTGTTTACACTTGGGGGTAGCGCATCTATGTGTATGTGCTGTGTGTGTCTTCTCCTATTCGCATGTGAGCTTTCTGAGGGCAGGGAGCTCAATGGTGGTGTTCCCTGCAGCATCCCCTACTGCTGGGCGCTCTCTCTCTCTCTCTCTCTCTCTCTCTCTCTCTATATATATATATATATATATATATATATTTATATATTTTTTTATATATGTATTTATTTATATATATAGCTACCAAATGAAATAATGAACCACTAGAGTTGTTCCTGGGGGTTCTAGTTTGGAGGTGATGGCATGACCTCCAAATAAGAGCATAGACCAAAAGTCTAGATGTCTCGATCCATATGACATGCTTGGTGCCGGGTGCTGAGCCCTCTGTGCTTGGGGCTGCTCGTTTGTGCTCGGCCCACAAATGTGGGTCCCTGCACCTTGTCTGCAGCCCCATCTTATGCTTCTCAAACTCTTTCCTGAGCAAACAAAAAGGAACTACGTAGCCCGTGTCTATCACATCATATCCTAATTCAATTCTTTGCTCAGTGCTTTTACTAGCTAATATTTTCCTTTCATTATGTGTGTGTGTGTGTGTGTGCGTCTCTGTGTATTCTGACTCTCCTCATCAGAATATAACCTCTTTGAGGGCAGGGGCCTTCTCTTTCTTATTTTCTGCTTTAGCCTTATGACTTGTTTCGGTGTTTGGCAAACAATAGGGTGTTAATAAATACTAGTTGAGTGGGTACATTTTTTGTTTAGTGTTTAATATGCCTCAGATGAAATCTACTGAGATAATTCTCTGCTTTTGTGTCTTTTGTGTTCCACTTTCCCTTTTCTTTTCCTTTTTTTTCTTCTTTTCTTTTCTTTTCTTTTCTTTTCCCCTCCCTCCCTCCTTCCCTTCCTTTCTTTTTCTTTTTTTCTTTTCTTTTTTTTTTTATTATACTTTAAGTTCTGGGATACATGTGCAGAACCTGCAGGTTTGTTACATAGGCATACACGTGCCATGGTAGTTTGCTGCACCCATCAACCCGTCACCTACATTAGGTATTTCTCCTGATGCTATTCCTCCCCTAGGCCATGGTAATGATCTCATCCTGATTTATCTAGGGCAATTATCTCTCCCTTTGTATGGTTTTGCTCTATTTTTATTTGGACTACTCTGTGTACATTGCTATTGGTGTTTTTTTATTGTAAGCAATCTAGCATCTTTTAAGGAAGCCACTAGTCTGTGAATCTATATGAACAAAAGCAAAAACAAAGACAATAAAATCCCGAAGCACTCAAACATAGGTTCTTATCATGAACCAAATAGATTCTTTGACAGTATTCATAGCCTGTCTTCAAAATGGAAATTTCAATATACATTTTTGAAAACAGCATTTTGAACTTTCCTAAAAGCATTAAATATAAATAATATGTTGTTGTAGAAAGAATGCTAGCCTGGGAGTCAAAAAGATGGAGATCTTTGATTTGACAGCCCCTGGTGTGTGATGTTCCCCTCCCTGTGTCTATGTGTTCTGAATGTGTACATTTTATCTAGCCCTCACTGCTTTGGCTCTGACCTGTAGGGTGATTGTGTCCATGCTAGTTCCTCAAGCTCGGACCTTTCTCCTGAACTATAAACCTGGAAATATGCATACCTCTGGGACATATGCCCCTCACATGTCTTTTAGGCATCCCCCAAAATAACTTTCCCTAACTTGACCTCATTTTCTTCTTTTGTAAAGTAGCAGCTAGGGGACTGTATCCTGATAAAGGCCATCATGGGCATCCGTAAGAGTCCAGACCAGGAGTTGGCTTTGTGTCTCCCCTCTCTCGACCTCTCCCACTCACCGTTTGGAATTATATGTCTTGAACTACCTCTGGAAACTTTCCCTTCTTTCCATCTGCAGCTTCACAGTTGTAGTTCAGCTTTTCATCACTGTTTACTTGAACCCTCTGGAGAGCAGTGTAACTGATCTCTTTTTCTTAACTCTCGTCCTCCAAAGTTTTGCCAGAGTGACCTTCCTAAACTCTGATAGGATCATTCCTCTGCTCTTAATCCTGCATCAGTGTGTCACGTGAGTTTGCCTACCTTTCTCTCCATATTTCCATCTCACTAGAAGAATAATACTTTTGTAGAAGCCACCATGTATTGAGCACTTACTGGGGGCCAAGCATCGTGCTAAATGCTTTCCACCTACTATTTACTGGTAGCCTTCTGTCAAGTTGTTGCTTATTTGCTTCCCTGCCTCCACATCAGCTCCTGCCAAGTGCAATAGATGTTTGCTGAATAATTTAATGAACGATCCTATTTCTCAAGGAACGTTCAGTCTAAAGCTTGCAGCAATCAAGTAAATAATTGATTTCTTTGCACCAGGGAAGGGCCATCTGGCTCTCACTTAGGGAAGTAAGGAGAAGCTAGGCCTGATCTTCACCAGCCAAGTAACTTGGGCAATTTACTTCACCTACCTGTGTCTCACTCTTTTGTTCATATATTGGTCTCTGAGGTCCCTTCTAGGCTCTGACAACTGGAAACTCTGAAAATGTAAGTTTATAATATTCTCGTAAAATGTTCTCTTTTCAAATTTGTACATTGAGAGAGTGGAGAAGAGCAGAGGCAAGCAAAGGCAGGATTGCAGCATAGGTCTATGGGCTTGGCCTCTGTGGCCCTGACTCTCTCCTGCTTAGATACCTGGCGCTCTCAGCATACACCTGGGGCTTCAGGGCCCAGACCTGCTGCTCTGGGCAGTGGTCCAAGCCCCCAGCATTACCCTTCTTCTCAGAGATGTGCATCTCCTCTCAGGAAAACCTTGAGGGTAGGAACTGATAAACTACCTCTGCATAAGGTGCCTTGGTCAATAATGGATTAATGTGTGGGCCTCCCAGAGATATTTGACTCAGAATAGACCTGATGGAATGCAGGGACAGGCAGCTATCAGGAAATGGAAGTAAGGAATGTTTGGTTTTTGGTTTTTTGTGTTTTTTTTGATTTTTTAATCTGAGTAGGGAACATTTCTCTTTTGCCTTGTGGGAATTCACCACTTCTGCTTCTATTTCATTGA